TTGCCTTTCTTGGGGGTAGGAGGAGCCTGGCGGCTTTTTGGGAGGAGGATTTTACTCCTGCAGATTCGGAAGCAGCGGTATCTTCCTGTAGTGTGGTCTCTGCTCTACTGCTCTCTCCCTGGCTTGCCTGTGGCCTCGGTTGGCCTGACTATGAAGGGGGAACAGTGACGGCTCATAGCCCTGGGCCCCGCCGGGGCTGCGGGGTTTCTATGGTAACATCAGTGCAGGGGGAGGGCCCTGGCCAGCTGTCTCATAAGGCAGGGGTGGGAACTGCCGAGTGAGGACAGAAAGGTGGGGTTGGCGTTCAGACGGAACCCCTGCTGGTTCCTCCCTATGCAGAGCCCCTCGCTGTCCTCATTCTCCACCCAGAAGCTCCTCTCCACTGCAGTGGGTGCTGTGCGGGCCCAGGCCTGCCTCTCTGCCCTGGGATCTCTAGGCCTGCTTCTCTTCCTGGGACTAATGGCCCCTCCCCACTGATTTCTAGGATTGTTCCCATCATGCAGGTGTCCTTGTTCCAGACTGGAGATAGGCTCCCAGGAGGAAGGGGATTGCTCAGTCCCTGGTGGGCCAGGGTACACCCCTGGGAGGGACTAGAGCGGAGATGAAGGGCCCAGGGCATCCTGGAGAGCTGTGGCCAGTCTGCACCCAAATAGTGGGCTGGGGGAGGTGGGCTGCTGGGAGAGATCAGGTTGAAGTTCAGAGGTCAGCTCGTCACCACGACTGGCTGAGGCAGGGAGAGGCAGGTCTCCTGGCGGTGAAGCCCTGAGTGGGACGGGGGTGGGGCAGAGGGCTCTGGGCATGCCAGCTCCCATGCCCTCTGGACCTGTCAGGTGAGCAGGGCCTGTGGGTGGCACCAGTGGCCTCTGAGACCCAGCCAGCCCTTCCCTGTGGACAGCAGGCCTTTTTTTGTGGCCCAGCATGAGGCTTCCCTGACATGCATCTGCCCTAACAGACAGATCCCACAGACATGAGTGGGTGTCAGCCCATCACTGCCCCACAGCACCGGATTCCCTGTCCAGGTACACATAGGATACCCTGGTCCTGAGAAAGCCTCATCCTCAAAGTACCAGCCCTAGACAGATCCAGGCCAGGAAATGCTGGAGTGCTCAGCCCACAGGCAGCAGACAGGAACCCGTGTGTGCCGGGGGCGTGGTGGCCACGCGCTGAGGTCCCTGCTGGTGCGTGGTGTGTGCCAGGTCAGCCTGAGTCAGACCCGCCCCCGCTCATCCCTCCTCTCAAGGCTGCGGGAAGCCTCCACTGGCCCAAAGTGAAAGAGAAAGTAGCCCCCTGCAGGCCCGCCCCACCCCGCCCCACGGCCAATCCCTGCGGCCCCTCGCCGCCTCCCCCGGCAGCTTCCCCTCCTGTGTGAGTGCCGGGCGGGAGTGTGGAGAAGCCGTCCAGAGTGAGTGCCTGGGGCAGAGTGAGAACAGGACCAGTGGGCAGGTGGTGGAGTGGGGGTCGGTGGTGGATGGCTCAGCCCTGGAAAACCGAGGTGAAGGTCAGGAGTCCCTGAGGATCTGTGGGTGTGAGCCAGCCTTGTGGCCCTGGGCAACGGCGCTGCCCGTGCCCGAAACAGCTGGCCTCTGGGGGACCCAGGGTGAGGAGGGAAGGCCCCCGAAGCTGGGATTTTATGGCCATGACCTTATGGGAGGCCCCTGAGGCTGTGGCTCCCCAGCCCTGCCGCTTAGTGGGAAAGGTCCGTTCTCCTCTCCTCTGTAGGGGATGGGCGTGCCAGCCACAGGGGGCCTCAGAAGGCCAGCCATCCTCCACCCCCAAGGCTTCCAGGGGTCCCATCACTGGCTTCTGTGTATCCATGAGTGAAACTCCTGGGAGGGGTGGAGGGGAGGAAGGTGGGCAAGGGGCTGGCCGTGGGGGGTGCGGGCTTCTTGGGGAGAGCTCTGCAGGCCCTGGGTGGAGCTGCTGTGGAAGGAGAGCTATACCTGGGACGGCTGAGCCCAGGT